AGGTCCAACCTCCTGCTCAAAGTAGGACCATCCCCAACTAGATCATCCAGCCAAAGCTTTGTCTAGCCGGGTCTTAAAAACCTCCGAGTATGGAGATTCCACAATCTCTCTGGGTAACCTGTTCCAGTGTTTTACTCCCCTCCTAGTGAGAAAATTCTTCCTAATATCTAACCTAAACTTCCCTTGCTGCAACTTGAGACCATCGCTCCTTGTTCTGTCATCTGCCACCACTGAGAACAGTCCAGCTCCATCTTCTTTGGAACCACCTTTCAGGTAGTTGAAGGCTGCTATTAAATCCCCTCTCAGTCTTCTCTTCTCCAGACTCAATAAGCCCAGTTCCCTCAGCCTCTTCTCATAAGAAATGTGCACCAGCCCCCGAACCATTTTGTTACCCACCACTACTCTCTTCAATTTGTCTACATCTTTAATGTAGTGGGGGGCCCCAGGCTGGCTGCAGTACTCCAGATGTGGCCTCACCAGTGCTGAATAATCGCTTCCCTTGACCTGCTGGACCCTCTCCAATGTAGCTTAGTGTGCCATTAGTTTTCTTTGCAACAAGGGCACACTGTTGCCTCGTATTTAGCTCATTGTCCACTGCAACCCCCAGGTCCTTTTCTGCAGAGCTGCTGCCCAGCCAGTCAGCCCCCAGCCTGTACTGGTGCATGGGATTGTTCCTTCTTAAGTGCAGGACTCTGCACTTGTCCTTGTTGAACCTCGTGAGATTGTGTTCTTGCTAGTTGCCCTTTGTTGTGTAGAAAGAGATACTTCAGGAATTGACAGAATGCTTTGAGTATAGATCTGTATTAGACACACTACACTATTGTGGGTTTCTAGCCGAGGCATTGATCTGCTGTTCCTACTGCTAAGTAATTTTATTCTTTTTTTTTTTTCCCCCTGTTTCAACCTCTTTTGTCTCAAGGACAAAGCATGCATTTTTAAAATCTGGTCAGATTTGCTCATTATTTTGCCCTCCTGCTTCTAAAGAAAAAAACCCTTTTTTTTAATAGAATTATTTTGCTTTTGCCCATAAGAAATCTTACTAATTACTTAGTGAAAATAAATACTGAGCATGTGTGATTCCCTTTCCCTGTTTTGTTGAAAGGTAGATTTATCTGGAATCCAGCACGTAAAGGCATTAAAAAAACATAGTCCCATTCTCTAGGTAGCTTCAAAGGGCAGGGACGGTGTTGATGTCTGGTGTTTAGGCTCTGGGGCAGATCCTGCCGGGGCTTGATGTGGAGACCCTGAAGTAACTGAATAATTTTGATACCCCCAAGGATTTGTTCACCCTTTCCTTGACTCTAGAAAGTGTTTGCTGAATTGCTGTTTTTTCCCCTTCAGGGTACATGCCAAGGAGAGTGTGGGGGCTGAATATGTTGAAAAATACAGACAACTGGAGGAGCAAGAATTGGTTGCAGTTGGTAAAGAACAGCATCTCTGTGGCCGAGGTGAAAAAATGCCCTTCCCCTTTTCTAATTCTAATGTTTAAAACTAAACAAAAATATTAACTGTAATGTCTGTGTATGTATTGATGGTTCTGTATTTTTTCTGTCTTGTTTAAAGATGGACTGGTGTTAGCAAGTGAAGAATTGCGTGTGTATGTGTACGTACATGCGATGTTATGCATTTTATGGTGATGATGTATCTTTTATTTAGAATTTAAAATACTCATTTGTGTAAGAAGATTTTTCTCTCTCTCTCTCTCCCCCCCCTCCTCCCCCCCGATGGTTTTATTGTTGCCAGAATAGAAATGGGTAATGTGGATTGTTTCTTTTGTTCTGGGTTGCTATGTTCCACTCTACTCTACTCTGTTTTGGAAAGTGTATGTGAATGTCTCTGTTCTGAGTGTTGTTAGAGGGAAATTGGATTGCACCTCTTTCCCAGTATTTCTTGTAAAAGCAGTATAACGCTGACTAGGTTGTCATGACAGCTCAGCCTCAAACTATACTGTGCCTACAGTTAACTTCCAAACAAGTTACTGTAGAGTGGCCTTTCTTATAGAGGTACTCTGTACCCCTCGTTCTTTTATGTCTTTCAGTGACTAAAGTAGGAAGGCTTGAGCTGGCTCTGATGCTTCATAAAAGTGCTGCCAAAATACTTACTTAACTTTAGAAAACCCAATTATTCAATGATGCATTATAGTAATTGTGTACTCGTTACGTATTTATAGTCATTATGAAAATACCTTTTAATGTTATTCTTTACTCCCTAATATTTTATATAAATTAGGGAGAAATTTTGCAATGAAAGCAATAGAAGATGTACTGTAATTTTACAGGATTGGCCTTAAAATTCTTCCTCTTAATAAAATCCTGTTTCTCCTATTGTTTTGTTTTAAATTTTCTTGTCTTCCCTTGGTGTTTATATCCCTAAGGATATTGTTGTTATCTCTCAGTTGTCGCTTACTACAACAGCATATTTAATTACCACAATGAAAATAAACAACAAACCCATAAAATATCATAACAGGTGCTCTATTGTTATTTCTCTGGTAGCTGTTTTCTCCCATTCCTTTTCTTGCTCTTTGCCCCTGTAATCCTGTTAGTTTAGTTGATCAGGAAGTTGCTGCTTCCTGTGTTGCTGTCCACCTCCTATGTTCAGTTCTGTGCTCCCAGCTATGTGTAGTATTAGTTGAAAGGAGCTAAACAGACTGAATAGTGCTAGGACTAGAAGGTGTCTACTAATATTCTGGGACAAAGCAGCAGAAAACTTGTGAGACTTGTAGCATGAACCAATTCAGGGTGTTTCAGATATTTTGCCATTACTACCACCATCATATAAACAGATGCAGAATTCTCATAGTTGAATAGTATTAAAAGAAAAAAACAGTGAGCATGAGAATTGTCCGTTTACGGTATTTTCACACATGGAACACATTTCCAAATAGGGGCCTTGTTACACGTTAATTTTAGGCAGCTCTTGGAGCTCTTAACCCCTAGATTGTCCACACATTAATACCAGAAGCTAGTTTGAAGCAAACGTTAGGTGGCTTAAAGTTATGCCACACCAGGGCAGGTTCATTTCTGATCTGTTACCCAATTCATGTTCTGTTAACGTGTGGCTGCTCCCCACAGATGAACTGCCCAAGTTGCAGTCCTCCAGCATTCCAGGATGTAATGTTCCTTCCCTACCTTCCTGTTCTTTTTGGACAAACTTTCTACTCACTGAACTTTACTGCCCAGGGAGCAGTTCTGGCACCAAGCCAACTGCCCGCCCCCTCCCCTGGGGATGACCTTCCCACCCCCAGGTGTGCAGTCCTGTGCAAACAGCCTGCAAAGCACATGCCAGCTAGCTAGGTCACAGGTCAAGGAGTGGGGTTTAAGGGTGATGGAGGAGAACAAGATAGGGGGTTTCATAGGGTCCCCATGAGCTGAGGCTTCCTTCCCAGGGCAGGGGCAGTAGCTCCTCTAAAATCACCACTCCCATCTCCCAGCCACTCCAGGAAGCATGACCAGCATCCCCCACACCTTGGTCCCAAATCCCGCTTTATTAGAACATGAGACCTCCTTCTTTAATTTACTTCCTCTTTATTTTTTAATTCTTTACTTTGTATTTTATCCTTCAGTGGCTGATTTCCTCCTTCCACCTCCCATTTCCTTTCCACCTCCCATTTCATGACCCCCCCCCATCTTTCACACATTGCCACCTAGAGCAGGGTAGAAGCCTATCCTGGCTCACCAGCACTGTAGTGGCAAATCAAAACTAGCTCCTTGTCAGGCTTTTGCTCCCCAGGCCTATAGTGGCACCCTGGGATAGTCAGATCAACATTTGAGCAGCCCAAAGTACAACGTGTAACAAGGCCCTAAGGGACACCTTGTTTGTGGAAGACAGAATGTAGGAAAAAAATCTTTTCCAGAATCATGCCTGTGAGTTGACTGCATGCAACAGTTGACTTGCCCTTGTCTAGCTCAGTGACAGACGCTCTTCTGGTAGAAGCTACAGTGTTAACCCTCCCACAGCTGCTGCTGAATTAGCAGCAGTTTTGGCTGCTTACCCAAAAGCTACTGCCAATTCAGCAGTGGCTATGAGGGCTAACACTGGACTCTGCCCCTGTTGCTTGCTGGCTCCAAGAGAAGCAGCAGTCATGTTGGCAGCCCTTACAATAAAGCCGTTCAGTTTTTCTATTTCTCTGTACTTTTGTTCCAGTAAATAAAAACCAGCTTCCCCACTAAAAGCACTTATCTTAATTTTGGGGGGACTGACTTTTGGGGAAAGGTGTGGGCAGTATGCAAGTAAATATAGTAACATCTCAGGATCATAGTCTGATCTGGAAAAAATTCAAAGCACTCAGCGTAACTATAAAATTGAAATACTGATTTTAAGGTGTTGAAGTGCAGATTCTTAGGATCCAGGCACAGTTATCATTACAGGTTGTCATCTTGTTAGCAGTGCAAATTCATTGCACTGTGTCAGATCAGTGGTACATCTAGTCCAGCATGTCTACCATGTACATATATGGCAGGGGATGATCCAGGAAAACTCTGCAGTCGACAACTAAAGAATGTCCTGCACACAGGGGAAAAAGAGGCTGGTTTCCTTCTCTTGAAGGTTTATCCCTGTCATGTTTGTTTGTTTTTTTTTGTTATAGTAACTTGGTATGTTGTCTTGCAGGTCTAAGAGCACTATTTTGAATGCTGCTATGCAGTTGGTCTCAATGATGCCTTGCTTCTGCAAGTCTGGCTGTTTTGTGTTTCTAAAGTGAGCTCTAATGTTTTTCAGTTTTTGCGGTATCACTGAAAGGTAACACAGTTAAACTGCTGGCCATGCTCAGAGTCTGAGTCGAGCCATTTTCTTCAGGGTTTATAGTATTCACGTACCTCCCTCACCTCAGGTCTGTGCTGGGATCCAGAAACCTTTCTCCTTAAGTGGTGGTTTTTGGGGGTTTTTTTAACTTGCTCTGATGCTTGTCAGAGGAGTCAAACTTGTTTACTGTCGCTCTCATCTCATCTTACTAGCTTGTTGGCTTTTTGTAAATCATCTTATCTATATATAAATTCCTAATGGAGTGTTGTCTTCAAAACTTTCCTTAACTCAGAAGGTTTGGAATGCCATAGAAATGGAGACCTCATTTTTTCTCTTTTTAACAGTATCTGTTTTTTTGCCTAAGGTGGTTTTATACTTCCTATTCGTTTGGGTTCACCTTCTATTTTACCATGTGAAAGCTGACTTTTTTTCCAAGGAGGAAGCTTTTTAAGTGGGAAGCTTTCTGTGAAAATTGACATTGTATGTTTAAATTAAGACCAGAAGTTCCCAGAACTCTTCTAGCATTCATTCTCCAAGTAAAGTGGCCAAATGCTTGTCTAATATTAATTCACCATATTGGTGATGCAGTCTTATCCATTGCCATTTCCTTTTTCTTTTTCTTTTTTTAACTATTTTTTCCTGTGGGTTAGTACCTGTGGGAAGATGAGAGGGAGGTTGGGCCTGGGAGTTGGTAAGGGAAGAGAAAGCACTCCTGGTGACTGTGACAGGAAGCCAGTGAAATTGGACAGGAAGCTTGGGGGCAGGATCTTCCACATGTACTCAGAGAGGCAGAGATCCTGTGGAAAAAAATAGCATGTGATCATGTTGTTTAAAGATCGTATTATAATAGATATGTCACACTTTCTTGCATCCTTTGCACACCTTTCCTACAGAAACCATGTGCTACTCGAAATTGGAATGCTTATTATATGCAAGAAGTATTGTAAGAGCAGTTGCTGCTTACCAGCTGAAATCATAAATAAAACCTGAAACAATGCACAGGGAGCAGAACAGTGAGCAAGCTCAGATATCTAGCTGCTGCTACTCAATTACTTACTACAAGGAAAGATCTTTTCCCTTTTGTTCTACCTTTCAAAAACAAGGTGCATACTATATTTTGGAGCCTGTTGTATGTGACAAAATATTGTACATGAAGGGGATTTAGATTGTATGAGCAATCTGAATTTTGGTACTTCCCAAGCTGTTACTGAACACTGAAAACCTAATATTAAATATGTTTTTGTGTGCAACTTATGTAGATCTGCTTCATTGTGCATGCTCATATTTAAAGTATGCTCTCTATCGTCAAGACAGGCTGTTGTGACCATTCCTTTGTTAAGGGTCTGTGAACCTTAACACAAAGAACAGGACAATCTTTAAATTGTGTTTTAATTGGCACTTCTTTTTCTTTAAGTACTCCAGCTCCAGATCCAGCCATTCAGGTGGTAAATAATCATTGGGATAGAGATGGAAACTGAAGGTTTTGCATTTGTTGGCGTTTGGAATTTGCCATGTGACTTCATAGGGAAAGTAGTTATACTCTTTCCTTACGGAATCTGTAACTTAGTGTCCACTGTCACTCGGTGACGAGCAGATGTCATTTTTATAGCTTAGACAAGTAGATTAGAATTCTCTTGGCTGTGGAAGTTCCTTCAACGGGAGGAAATTTCCTAGTTGCAGTTGTTCCTAACCTTTTTTGAGTCAA